CAGCTCTGCATCTGCAGGACAAGGGTACACAGTCAGTGGTCAATAAATGTTGGTGAAGAGAGGAAGAGAGAGGGAATAAAATAAATTTTATGTCTATTTTCTCCATCAATTCTCTTCTCCTTCATCCTCATGTCATGTCTTCCTATTACTTCTCTCCAAACACTAATACATCATCTTTATCCTTCTCTTCCTAGTTTCAATTCACAACTTGCAATATCTCTCTTGGGGTCCTAACTATTGCAAAAATGCTGATCTGGTGTGTGAGTAGCACAGGTTTCACAGTTTGTTGCTCCTTAGCATTGCAAAGAAGAGGATTGTTTTATCTGGCGCTGGATTAGTCTCCATTATATCTCCTCTTCTGTTTTAGCTAGGGATTTTTAACATGATTGAGTTTTACCTAGTTTTCAATGTTAGCAGCTGGGTAAACATACTTTCTGCAACACCCTGGATAAAATGGCAAACTCCAGGGGAAAGTCTTCTACCTTTAGATTAATAAAAAAGACTTGCTCACAGCCCTGGCTGGGGAATAGTAACACCTGAGAACATTTGAGGGGAATTGTGTGTGCTGGCTGTGGAAAACGCAGCTGATGACCAAAACAGGCAGCTGCCGTCCTGAGCAAGGCTGACCGCCCTCAGAGAGTAGCTTCAAACTGTACTTAGCAAGAATAACAGACAAGTGAGGTAAGTGACTGACAGCTCTGGTAGGTACTTCCAAAAAAGCCTGCACTTTTCATAGGAGAATCACCTGATTCTAAAAAACATAAATGAAGGCTTACAAGGGACAGGGAGGGGAGTACTCAAAAATTGCTCAGGGAAAATATTTTGGAAGGAAAATTTTGAAACACAATAGGAAATTCACGTGCATATTTACAAGCGCCAACTTCGTAAAAATCCATGAATGCTTCTGTTTTCACTGTCTTCAAATTGGGTACAAAGGATGAGAAACCTTTTTAAAACAAATACAGTGAGTTCATCATTCCTAAAGTTTGTTTTTAAACTTATCTGCTGTGCAAATTCACTCTCATGAATCCCTCCATATTTTTACATGTTTTAAAGATTTTCTAAAATAAAAATATCAGGCAAGGAAAGTATAAGTATTAAAGGAAAGTGCTTGTGATGTAAGGTTTAATAGAAGACAACAGGCAAAAACACGATAGACCCACATGGTAAAGTCGATTATCTGTGAGTTACTAAAAATATGTTTTTACTATGGAAATGACTGGCAAACCACATTTTAAAAATTGGAGCATGTATATCAACATGTTGAAAAAATACAATAAATGAGTAACAGGCACAGTCTGTAACTGCAATACTTTTGCAAAATAGAAATTTTTAAAAAGTGGTTATTATGAAAAATATGGAAAACTAACTTCTTAGGCTCACTGAAACAAATGTGTTAAGGAATAGTTCAAAAATAACCACTACAATGTCTTCTAAAAAGTCTGCAATGGTTACCAAATGAAAATTCAGGAGGGCAAGGATTCTTTACTGTATTTTACTGCTATATTACTAGTGCTCAGAACAGTTCATGGCACACAGTAGGTGTTCGATAAATGCTTGTTGAATACGTGAGAGACTGAATAAATGGAGGAGAAGCATAGACCATTTCAACCTAGCCCTCTGGTCTCTCCAGGTAAGAAACGGGGTCTTCCTGACTCCATGTTGCTGAAATGCTTTGACTTCTCCTCTACTAGGTAGAGCACTCCCTCCCTTGATGCTCTCTCTTCAAGTTAAAGAGAAAAAAGTTGCTAATAAGCAAATCCATTTTATGCACCCCCCCCCAAAAAAGAAATCCTTTATTTCACAAGTTTAATAAACTACTTTGTCATAAAGGCTTTCATTATTTCATGACATGATCTGCCTGCCATGGGCTCCCACTCTCTCTGAACCAACCTAACACCCCTCTTCTCTTGCTCCCCCAGATCCAAGCACACTGTCCTCTGAGTTACTCCATAAACTCTGCCTGGAATGCATCTCCCAGATGCCTGCCAGCCTCCCTCAGACATTTTCTCTCATTTCTTGCAGGATTCTGCTCAAATGTCACTTTCACAGAAAAGCCCTCTGTGACCAGGCTAAATGAAAAACCCAGCTTCACACTTAACTTCTGGCATTCTTCCTTGTCCTGGCCTGCATTATTTTTCATGGATACACTTGGTCTGTTTCATTCACTTCTCTATCCCCAACGATTGCAACAGTGCCTACTACACAGTTAGTGCTCAATAAATATTTCTTGAGTGCATAAACAAACAAGGACACAGTCATATTTTATGTGCCACTTCAGGGAGGCAATATGAGAGATGAAAAAGGTGTTACATTTTGAATCCCATTTCTAACTATTCACTATGTGCCTGACCTGGAGACCACCTCCCTAAATGTCAGAATTTTCATATCAAGTGGGAATAGTAACACTTATTTGGCATGTACTTGGCAGCCACCAAAGGCTGGTTCCACCCCTTCCTTTCTCCCTGGCTCCTTTTTTGTGGCTGTGAGCTAATGTAACACTTTTGTTAGGAAATAAAATGCCTGCAAGTTCTGAGGTGACTGTGCAATGCGTGTGCTGAGCAAGACAAGAATGTTGAGAAGGCCCTGGAGCAGTATCATTCATAATGACAACCAACATTGATTGTACTTCCGTTTGACAAGGGACAAGGCACAAAAAGGACAACCTTCTTTTGTAAAGGTGCCATCATCTGACTGGGAACAGAGGCTTCTAGAACTGGCCTTGAAACATGACTAAGTTTCAGAATAGTGGTAATCCTGAGAAGCATTTCAGAGAGGAAACTAAACCAATAGGGAGGGTGACTATAGCAGGGATGTCCTTTGGAAACATGTTAGAAGAAGAGTGGACAGGAAAGGTGATGTCAGATTATGGAAGACCCTGCATGCCAGGGTGGAGGTTATGTATAATCATGTAATTTATGAAGCACCACTAATATTTTTGAATACTGGAAAAACAGAATCATATAATGAAAATGACAAATTTTAAAGAACCTGTAGAGACTTCTCAAAGCCAAGCACTAAGCAATACTAATGATCCCAGTGCTATTTGTTTGGAAAAATAAATGATAAGCTTATAAACTGGAATGAATCAATATTCTAATTCTAATCTTCCCAGATCATCACTATTTGAACTACCTTGGAGGAGAAGAGACATGCTAGAAAAGACTTGGAGAACTGCAACCCATAAGAAAGTCCCAAAAAATGTCAGTGCACTAGCAGAAGAGAGCACAAAAGCTAGCCTCCAAGCAGCCAAGGGCTCTATCTGTGGTCTGTGTTTTAACAGCAGTACCAATGATGATGTGACCTCCTTATGAAATTTCCTCTCCTAGGACTACCCCCTCCCCCAACTCAGTCTCTTCCTTGCACATTGATTCCTTACTTATTGTTAAGTCTGAACAAAAATATAACAATCTTATGAATACCAAAATGCTGAAACTTCTACTTCTGTATATAAAAAAACAGAAAGAAGAAGGTTGCAGATTATTTAACTCACACCAAAGAGGGAAAATGGAAATGAGTATGTTACAGATGCTACTAAAAGTCATTCCACAGTTGAACTCCATTACAGAATTTAATAAGGAATAAAAGTTTTAAAACATAGGAAACCAATCTAGGTATCATATTTTTCTTGGGATCTACTCTTCTTGCAGCATGGTCATGATTTATTCAGATTATCAAAGAGCTTCTGATAAGGTTCTCACAAGTGGTTATTATTGAAACTTGGTAACCATAGTGTGAAAGGAAAAAGTTTTATCAATTAACTATATGAATTACAAATGATTGAGAGGCATAGAGGAAAAAGAAGAAATAAATGGGCAATTCTCATGTGGAGAAAAGTTAGTCATTGAGGGCTCTGGGGCTTCGCAGTAGAATCAGAGTTATATTTAACTAGGGACCAGAAAAGGGCACCCAGTTCTCCTTCCCCCGTTCTGTGTCTATCAGTCCCACAACACACAGTCCCTATTGATGTCAACAGCATTTGGCACATGGAAAAGATACAGGCAGTGTTTAAAATCACAAAAGTGTTTAAAGTTACAAAAGTATTTCAAATCCAGGAAAGAGAAAATAGATAGATGAATGTTGATTCAGATATTCTTGCAGACATCCCCAAATACAAAGACAACAAAAATAAAAACAACAGCAGAATTTTAGTTCTTATAACTTTGATGTATACTACATAGAAACACATGAGCCATTTCAAAAGACTAGATATGGTATTTAAACAAAATTACCTAATCTATTGGCATGATGAGAGCAAATTTTCAATAGAAGAAAAATTCATGTGGGCATTTCGATCCACAAAAGCCACAAAGCCTATTTGTACAGATTCAGAAGACATGTAAAGGCAAACAAAAAGTGAAACTGACATGGAACAGTAAGAATAATTACTTTTTTTCAGACAAACTTGAAAAATTGGTACAGGTATTATAAATAAATAACCTGACATTAATGGAAAAATTTGGCATTTGCAAAGATCCAGAAATAACATCATGATTCACAGGAGTGGCTCAGAAATGCAAACCAACTCTTGGTTTCACCTCTCTTTGCCTTGTTTTCCTTACATATAAAATGGAAATAACAGAACTTACCTCACAGGATGATTATGAGGATTAAATGAGATAATGTATCTAAAGCATTTAACACAGTGAAAGTATGAAATAATGTTAAATTATTATTGTTGTTGTTGTACTTATGATAAACTAAACCCAAACAGCTACAGGACACAGAGAAACAACCTAATTCAAGTCATGGTGACTTTCTTATTTATATCATTGTTATGACTCACTACTTAACAAAGCATATAAAATGTGTTCAAGTGTTTCTAAACAAACAAACAAAAAAAACCCACAGCTTTAAAATCTCTCCACTAGCCAATTTTGTAAAATGGAAGAGAATTACAAATTGATCTCAAATAAGCCACGAAAAAAACCCACAAAACACCAGATAAATGCTTATCATATATTAATTCTTAAATGGATGAATACAAGATCCAAACTTACCGTTCAGATAATATTTTAATAAGCTCTTTTCTATTCTGTACCCGAAGGTGGTTAGTTTTATACTTGGAGTCATCAATCAACTCAGGCAAATCCAAGATCTAAAAGGGAAAAAGAATTTTCAAGTATAAGAAGTAGATTGTTCTTGTACCTGCCTGTGGGTGCCAGTGTTCAGGTCTTGTCTCTCCCTTCTCAAGAACATTCCTTGCTGGTCTTTATGCCCCTCAACAAGGACATATGAAGGGAACAAGCACACAGTTAGGATGGATCATGCTGGTGAAAGGGTTTGTCATTCACAAAAGGCTTTTACTACATTTAAGCAAATATTCTTCCATATAGGAGAACAGCAAAAGATCCCCATAAGTCTTATGCCAAATATGAGAATACAGGAAACATGTTATCAGATTCCCACAGAAAAAAAAATCTTGTTTAGAGGAAATAGGGAGAGAGATGCTAAACTGGGTAAAACGGACCAAATTTTAAAAACCAATATCATAAGTGCATACCTACATGTATCTTGTATACAGTCAACATGCACCTTGTAGATATATTCACTTATTTATTCCACATGTAAATAAAATACTGTGATCTTCCCAGGTTGTCCTATGCAAAATGTTCTAAAAGCTGCTAAAATAAAGTAAAAGCAAATACATTTGCCCAAATTCTCACCATTTAAACAATAGCAAATTAAAAGATCTTCTTCTTATAGAAGTATCACTATTTTTTATTAATATATCTCCCTGAAGTAATACCAACTAGAAATGCTTTTATAGATTTCCTCTTTCGCTCCTCCTCAATAAGGGGAAAATCTATCTCGCAAGTCCCTTTGGACAATGTTCAACGTTAACAAGACTATAATGAAAGTACCAAGTGGATTTGGAATGGAAAAGTTTTACAAAGAGTGTGTAGAGGCAGTGCTTGGCAGTTGTGTTGGAAAGTTACAAGGAGCATTTACAGCCTGGGGGCAGGCCATGCAGCCTACAGAAAGCTTCATTGTCTTTATTAATGTATTTGCAAAGGAGAGAGAAGTGAAGAAGATTCCCCTGAGTCAAGAGACCATCTCAGTGGTGTAATTTCTTTCACATGTTTCAGTTATTTCCTTTAGGAATAATAAAGACAGCATTATTCTCCCAGATTTTAAAAACCAACACCACATACAGCACCCTTTCTAGAAATCTCCCTGTCACAACACCTGATCCAAGAATTGGCCTCAAGCCTTGTCTAGCAGTTAGACATCCTCCCTCCCTAAGAGTGAATAAGTCATTCCAAAAAAAAAAAGCAAGTGTCTTCACTAAGTCACAGGTTAAATTTACAAACCTGGCCTTACCCAAAAAGCACCATCAGCAACAAAAAATTACACAGTGACCACACTTAAGGGTAACTGGAATGCCCATGTGTCCGCTGTATTGGACTTAATGGGACTCTTTTCTGTTTCAAAGATGGTGTGAGATTGTTGGCCAAAGTAATAATCCTTCCATCTTCAACTATGCCAGCTAACATTCAAAATGTTTCTAGAGAGACAGCGTCAAGGACTGTGATCATAACTATTATTTTGGAGCTTAAATTTAAAAAGAGTGCTGCCTGGGATAAAACAAAACAATGTACATGAAAATGCTTGACATATTAAGCAGTAAATAAATGTGAAGTATTCCAACTAGGTACTGTTTCCCCCAAAAGAATTTTTTTTTTTTTTTTTTGAGACAGAGTCTCACACTGTTGCCCAGGCTGGAGCGCAGTGGCACGATCTCAGCTCACTGCAACCTCCGCCTCCCAGATTCAACGGATTCTCCTGCCTCAGCCTCCTGAGTAGCTGGGATTGCAGGCATGCATGTCATCATGCCCGGCTAATTTTTTGGATTTTTAGTAGAGACAGGTTGTCACCATGTTGGTCAGACTTGTCTTGAACTCCTGACATCAAATGACACACCCACTTCAGCATCCCAAAATGCTGGGATTACAGGTATGAACCACAGAGTCTGGCCAGAAATTTTTAAAAAGCATATATTGGTTCAAAAAAGAAAGGAGGGAGGGTTCCGCAAAAAAATGAAGAGACATTGGCAAAAACAAAAAGAAAGAAAATAACAAAACACCATAAACTGAGTGACAAACATTTTCTAAAATGGGAAAAAGAGAGAAAAAATAATGAAGACCCATGAAAATAAAAAATGCAAGTGTTTTAACATGCCTGTCATCTAAAGCCCCCCTTATAGCAAAAACCAAAATCCTTAAGATAGTCTGAAAAGTTCTACACGATATGGCGCTATTACCTCTCTAACATCACCTCTTACCATGCTCTCCTCCCTTGCTCATTGCTGCAGCCATTTCATCTTCTTGCTGGACCAGGAACATGTCTATTCCACTTCAGCCTCAGGAGTTTTAAAATAGCTATTCCTTTGCTTGGAACATCTTCCACCAGACATCTAGTCGACTAGCTCCTCCTTTCCTTTGTTGAGTCGACTCAAATTCAACTTCCTAATGCAACTACCCTGATTACCCTACCCCTACCGCAGGCCACCCCACCCGACTCAACACTGACTCCCCTGATTCCCTCTTCCCTTACCCATTTTTTCCCATAATATTTATCACCTAACATATTTATCATGTTTATTACCCCATATCTGTCTGCCCTGCTAAAATGTAAGCTTCACAAAGTCAAAATATTTTAAATGTTTTGTTCACTGGCATAGCCCAAATGCCGACAATACATTCTTCAACTGACAAGCTCACAGATAAACAATGTGAACACTTCCAGGTGTATGATATTTCAGACATTATTTTTTGCATATACCTTATTCCATTGTGTCTAAAATCACTTTTTAGCTGCAGCCAGGCACGGTGGCTCACGCCTATAATCCCAGCACTTTTGGGAGGCCGAAGCGGGTGGATCACCTGAGGTCAGGAGTTGGAGACCAACCTGGCCAACATGGTGAAACCCCATCTCTACTAAAAATACAACAATTAGCCGGGCATGACAGTGGGTGCCTGTAATCCCAGCTACTCAGGGGGGTGAGGCACAAGAATCATTTGAACCCAGGAGGCGGAGGTTGCTGTGAGCCAAGATCACACCACTGCACTCCAGCCTGGGCAATAGTGTGAGACTCCATCTCATAAATAAAAATAAATAAATAAAATATATAGGTGCTTCTTAAAAGCTATATGGTCTCTTGAAAGAGTTGTTTGTCAGGAGAAAATTATGAAGAGTTGTCACTGACTGTAAGTCATAATGTTCATATACACCGCCATCACTTTATGTGCATTACTGATACAACACGTTAAGTTTAATTGCCATTTAAAATGGCATCCAGTATAACAGAAAATATAACTCAGTACTGAAATAAAAGATCTTTGCATATGCAGGAAGGTGCAGAAACAGAGAATCACTTGCAGCGTAAGAACTACTGGAATCTAGTTTTTAGATAAAGGAAAAGGCAACATCTCTCTCGTGAAATGTGAGGTTTCACAATTTCTCAACAAATTCAGATCATCTGATCTTCCCTCTGCCGGTATAAATGTTAAATAAGTATTTGCACAAGAATTTGTTGCAAACAAGTTTTCTGAGATGACAAAAACTGGTCCATAGTTAATATAGCCCCACTCCAGCTTTCTTTTCATTAGCGTTTGCCCCTTTTGTTTGTGTTTGTATATTTTTCCATCCTCTTACTTTAACTTGACAGTATCATTATATTTGATGTGAATTTCAAATATGCATTGGACAGCATAGAGTTGGGTCATTTTTTTCTGACAACTTGTTTTAATTCATAATATTAAGATCATTCACATTTAATGTTATTCATATTTTTGAATGAATTAGATCTATCAGTTCATTCTTTTTTCCGTTTATTCCTGTTTTGCTTTCTGGTCTTCTTTAGAGTTGTTACTATTACATTTACCTATTTTGATTTTGGCTATATTTCTGCATAGATGTTTAATGACAGATGTTTATTGCTTAGGAGATCATAATGCATATACTTTTCACAGTGTAGTTAGAATCAAAATTTTACCACTTCAAGTGGAATATAGCAAACTTACTGCAATATAGTCCCTTTACTCTCCCCATTTTATGTTGTATTTATCTGTAAGTTAGATCTACATACACTGAAAATCCCATCAGACAGTATCTTAATGTTTGCTTTCACCCATCAAATATTTCAAAGAATTCACTAGGAAAAGAACAGACCATTATATTCACCCAGATATTTACTATTGATGTTGCTTTTCCTTCATTTCTCATGTTTCCAGTTCCCTTCTGACAACATTTACCTTCTGTAAATGAAAAAATTCCTTGAAAAATTATTTTAGAGCAAGTCAGCTTGGTTTTCCTTTATACAGAATGTCTTTATTTAACCTTCATTTCTTAAGGATATTTCTACTGGATATTGAAATCTAGGTTGGCATTTCTTTCCATTCAGCCTTTTAAACATGTTGTGCCACTTCTTCCCTAGCATTAATTTCTGACAAAAAAAAAAATGCAGTTAATTGAGTCACTGATCCCTCACAGATAACACATTCTTTTTGTCCTCTGAGTGTTTTTCTGGATGATTTTTTTGTATCCATTGTGTTACAACTCCCTATAGTATTGAGTGCAGTAACATGTACATGCTGTACAGATTTATAGCCTAGGAGGAACAGGCTATCCCATATAGCCTAAGTGTGTAGCAGGCTATACCATCTAGGTTTGTGTAAGTACACTCCGATATTCACACACCACCACCAACTGACACATTTCTCGGGACATATACCTGTTGTTAAGGGACACATTATGTATTCATGCATAGATTTGCTTCAGTTTATCCCATTTATGGTTTGCCGAAATTATTAAATCTATGGGCATTTAACTGTTACCAAATTTGGTATATATACAGTTGTTATTTCTTCAAATATTTTCCAGCATGTACACTTTCTCCCCTCATTCTGGGACTACAATGACATAAATAATGGACTTTTTGTTATTGTTGCACAGGTTCCTGAGGATCTGTTATTTCTTGTTTTGAGTAGGAAGGAGCTATATTTTGTTCTCTCTATTGTTCACATTGAATAATTTCTATTGATCTATCTTTAAGTTCCTTGTCATCTTCATTGCACTATTGAGCTCAACCGGTGG